TCATCACTTATGCTTGTAGAAGATAAATAGCCTACATTTCAGGAGTTTGCTTCTGGACATTTCCTCAAGTTCCCTGGTTCCTTTATTTTTGGACTTTGTTAAAAGCTTAATATATAAATGCTTGCTCTGTCTTTGAAGGTGCTAGTGTGTGTGTGTGTGTGTGTTTGAATTGTAACCATGGATTTGTTTTGCTCTAAATGAGTTCTCGGTTGGTAATGTGGTATGAAACTGATTGTGTAAAACAGATGGAGCATATCTGAGTCCCATCAGGAAAGAGTGATGCACTTCCATGGATCTCCACAGCACACGCATAAGAACAGCCATTTATTTCTTTTCTCTGCCAGCGTTTCCCTTGTGGAGCTCTTGTCTGTTGTAGCATACCTCTTTGAAACCACCTGACTCACCAAACTAAACCTTGGTGGCTGCTGAGACTGACCCAGTGAAGCGTGTTAGTCCAATCCTGCAGACGTCTGTTAAGGGACTTTAATGTTTAGGCTGTTAATTCCAAACCATGGAGCTAATATCCTTGGCTAGAAAATGAAGGGACACTATTATTTCTTGGGCAGGGGCGGCGTTTTTCTAAGCTTTTAACTTTTCTTTGTGGGTAGAGAAAAATTGTGCAGAGAAGAGAACAGAGTGTTTTTGCCAGAAACCATGTAGCAAATGCACTTTTTAAGGCGATATTTTAATGTGAAAATGAGACATCTTGGCATATGCAGTACATTTTGTCCTATGCATATGGAATGACAAATATCATGCACAATATTAATCTATTTAGTTAGATTAAAACGGGAGATTTTTCTTCATTTTAAATCACCTTTTGCTTTTTATTATAGTTAAATAAATTTTGCAGTGACTTAATTTAAAAAAAATAAACAAATAGCCTAGTAAATAATATGATGTAATAAAATTTTATGTATTATAATTATATTAAAATTAAAACAATACGTTGGAAAAATGGTTTAAAATAGCTTTAGATGAACTATGCATGTCACACTGCATGATATATAATTTTTCCATATAATACTAGATGAGAAACGTTTATAA